CGTCCCTCCTCACCGCCCCGCGCTGCAGCGTCTCTTAGCGTTTATTATCCTTTATTAACCCGTGGTCAGGAACCGGCGGGCGAGCGAGAGCATCAGGTGGAGGTCTCAAAGGAGGGCAGGAAACATCAGCCGGCGAGGGCCAGGAGTTTCTTGGGAAGAGAAAGGGACATTTTCCTCCTGCTCTGCAAGGAGAAAGGGAACATCCACAGGCTGGGAAGCCTCCTCGTGCCGCCAGGGAACTGCTCTCTTTTTTTTTTTTCCTAGCGATGAGATTCTGGCAGCGATAACTTCAGAAAAGCAGCAGCGCTAACAAGCACCATTTCCGTCTGCAACAGGCCCCGGGTGGAGCCTTTGCCTTCAAACACCGCTGAGGTCTTTAGTGATGTTTGTACGCGAACGTTTGCGCTCCTGGAACGGTTCATAAGCAAACAGACAGATTAATCCGTTTATCACCCTCTGCCGTCCACGGTTCCTCCCCTTCCTCCCTCTCGTGCGAGCTGCTCCCTGTTGGACAATACAGCACAGTGTTTTGCCAGCCGAGTCCCGGCCAAAAAAGAAAAAAAAGAAAAAAATCAATCCAAACAATTAAAAGCGAACACAATAGAAACCCCAGGACAGGGCTACCCCGACGTTACGCAATGAGCTTTCACGAATTTCACCATCAAGGGATTTCTCGCAATAAATTTTACCTAGGTTTAAGGTGAAGATAAATAGCCCGAATAAATAAATGACTTCCCTGAAGCGGTGGTGTTTATCAGTTAATTTTCCACTTCTCTCCCTCTGCAACAAAATCAATATGCGCATAGGGAAACAGAAGTTTGGCAAAGGAAAGCGCAGGGGAAAGAGCCAAACTTGGCAGTAACAGGGGCAGAAGGCAAGCGGCCTGCGAGCCAGGCGGCCGGGGGGCCGCGCGCCGCCCCGCGAGACCCCGGCGCGGGCGGGATTTCCCTTACGCCGCCCGTGGTCACATCGCTGCCGATGCCCCACCGACGCAGGCTTGTTCGCGCACGAGTCTCAAAACGGGGAACCGCCCCGGC